TGAAAATACTGTTACTGTATTAAAAAAAAGAAAGAGTGAAAATCTGGCATTCTTATTTAAGAATGCAAATATTTTCACTCGTTTTTAATAGTAACAGTATTTTTATTATTTTGGAATAGAATTTCACTCCAAGAAATTTAGGAACAACATTGTAATCCTTGTTTATAATTATCACTTTTTTACTTCAAAAGTGACACAATTCAAAAACACGATATTCGAGTTATTACCATAAATGGATTTAATAATCATTACCCTATCACAATCATCGAAAATAGATAACTTCATTAAAAAATCATCACAACACGAAAAGGATGATTTATATTTAAGGTATCATCATCATAACTCAAGATTTAAAGGGTTGTGAAAATGATATATATATTTAATCATTATTAATATATTTTTTATTAATAGTATGATTTATATCAATTATTTGAAATTATTAGTTTTATCATTAATTTTTTGTCAAATTAAAAAATAAATTTTTTCATTTTCTAGAAAATTTATATGATCTTTTTAATTGTGTTCTTGAAATATAAAGAAGTAATATATGAGATACATATCACATGAAATAAGTTGTCATTTTTAAAGAATAGGAAGAATAAAATATTTTTTAATAGAGGACATTTGCGACTAGAGTTTTATTAATCTACATATCAAATAAAGACGATTAAATATATTCGTATTATTTAATAAATGTTTATATAAATGTCAAATATTGCCAATATCTTAAAATACATGCATATCCCAAGTAGCAAGGTGTCACCTATTTAACATCATTAATTAGTTATTCTTATGACGAATGTGACGTTTAAAATGACGTCCAAACATCATAAAAATGACGCGAATTTATCCAGTACATAATATCATAAGTCGACGTCAAAAATACGTCATTTTTTTCGTGTTATTGAGGAAGGTATCGTCCATTTGATATCATTAATTAATTATTCTTATGACGAATCTATACGGTTCCTGAGATAAAGTGAAAATTACAAAAATGATCAAATTTGCTAAGTGTTGAAGTTATAAATATTCTAGTAAATTCAATTACTTTTGTAATTTCCACTTCATTTTAAAAACCATAATACGCTTCTTGACGTTTAAAAATGAAGCGAATTTTTATATTTCTTTTCACTCACACAACGTCATAAACTGACATCAAAGATACATCATTATTTTCGTGTTGACAGAATAAATGTGTGAATTGTTATTAATTGATTACTAATAATATTACTAGTACGTCGACAATTGGCCATTTATTCGACATCATTAAGTATGACATTGTAAAACCGTCATAAATAAATGATATCATTAATTGGTCAAAAAGATGACGTCATTATTACATCTTAAATAGGTCACATAACATCAATAATTTAAAATAACTAACTATCAATGTTAAAATAACAATAGCTTGTTATCTGGGATATTTTCAAAATACTAAAATTCTTAATAATACGTGTACAGTGTACATGAATTTTTTACCAAATAATGTTAAATATTTTATTTTTTTAATTTCCTATATGCATTTAAAAATGATTAGTTTCAACAGTTTTCCATGGGACATGTATATTAGACAAATGTGCTATTTATCTAACTTTCGAAATGCTACTCTCTTTTGTTGTATATTTTTCTTTATTTCAAATAAAATAATTACTTTTATTGATCTTTCCTGCCAATAAATATTGACATTTGAAATAATTATAACACATGGATCAATAAGTCCCGAGACTAACAATGAAAACAACATTTTTTTTGCAAAATTTTTTTTTATTCATCAACATAATCACCTTTTAGGGTGATACAATGGTTCCAACGCTTTTCTAATTTTTCAATACCATGTTTATAAAAAAATTTATCTTTCGCTTCAAAATAAGTTTCAGTTTCAGCGATGACCTCCTTATTTGAGCCAAATCTTTTTCCCTGGA